GAAAAAAAAAAAACATTTTATATATACAGATATATATATATATATATATATATATATATATATATACACACACACATACATACACACGTATACACACACACACACACACACACACACACACACACACACACACACACACACACACACACACTAAATTCTGCATTCTTGTTGACCAGTAATTGCCAATTTTGATGGAAATTATGTTTGTCATTTCCTCTTTCTTCAGTTAAAGTGCACATTTCATTTGTGCTGTATGTTGCACATAGAGCATCTTGGACAATAAAGCTGACTTGACTTGACTATGGCACATACGCGCCAATCAGGTGGGGCGAGGTTGGTTCACCAACTTCACTCGATTTTACTTTCACTGTTGCGCGTTCCAGCCTTTTTCTCTCTTTACCGATCAAATTGTCAGCCATCGTGCAAGACAGGCGCACTTACCCGCATTGGCATCGTCGTCCAGCAGGGGGATGTAGTCCGTCTTGCCGACGGTCTCCCCGATTTGATCATCGAACGTCTCGGCCTCCAACTGAGCCACAAAATCCCTCTCCACGCGGCTTTCTGGACCCTGCTGCGGAGCGCTGTCCACCAGAGCGTCGCTCAGACTCAAGTCTAACTCCGCCATGGCTGTAGATGGAAGAGACACAAACAATGAATCATCAGCAGATGCAAAGTGTAGTGCATCGGGGTTGGAAACTGAGATAACGAGACAAAAGACGACACAGAACAGTACAGTACCTATTTCACACAGCTCCAGCAACTGATTAGAATGTTAAGATGGATATTTGAGTGCTGACTTGATTGGTTTTCATGATCATCATTTGCTTGGGAGGGTCGTGTTGAGCAGAGACGGGAGAACTAATGGATTCTTACGCGCATCAATTCAACATGCATCATTTGAGATGCATCGATAATCCGTAATTGAATCGCAGCTCTCAAGAGATTCCCAGTTGTAATGGTTAGCGGCAGAGGCACTGGTTCGGTCTCGAATTTCAAAGAAGTGCTATTTGAAGAGCAAATTGGCACAAGTTCACAGGCGGCCGTAAATCTGAAATTTCAAACCCGGACACACTTAACCCCAGCTAACCAAGCTCGCAAGCCTGTCACGTCCGTACATCTGCATTACTTCATCTGTGTACTTTTTTTGGGGTGGGTTGGACAGAGAGGGGGGGGGGGGGGGCAGTCATGGGGACATATTCATTTTTCTCAACAAAACCCAGTAACCCGAGCGGCTTCATTTTGTTCGATTAGCAATGTTCAACTAGACGAAAACTTGTCCGTCTTTCCCGCTGTCAAACTGCTGCTGTTGTTTTTGCTTTGTCATAAAGCATTGTCAATTAGATAGCTGGATAGAATTTGTTGAGTCACATTGTGTCATCTTCCAAATATAATGCCAGCTTATCTACGGTGCCAGCTGGCCGCCTTACTTTGCTGCTGAGCCACTGTCCGTATTTATCTTGTGACCATCCTCCTGATCTTCCTGACATCCCTCTCCACCTGCGAAGGCTCTCAAGTTAACCTCACACAACCTAGCTTGCTGAAATAGGACACTCATTGTCATTCAAAGCAGGGTGCGGGTCAAGCTCTTGCCCCGGGGGCAGAGCAAGGGAGCACATCTGCTGCCAAAATCCAAACCGTCTTTTTTGCAGCCATACCGAGTGTAGCTTTAAACTGTCTACACCGCAACGGTGGTCAGGAGCCTCGCATTGTATCATCCGGCACCCAAATGCAAAATACATTCAATAAAATCCTATAAAATGATTCATTTTAAATTGAATGAGTGTTTTGGGGTTTTTTTTTCACCTCATAAGGTGTCAAAAACAAGACAGCTAACCCTGATGTACAACCCCGCAGCCCCATCTGCCGGATTACTGACTTACTACATGTTTATTTTAACATCGGATGCTTCAAATTCCTTTTGGCATTCAGTGGCTGAGCCAAACCCCAGACACCAGTAGCATAGCCGTGCCTTCCTCAGAAAATATGACACATGGCTCGGGCTAAATAGGAAGAACAAGGCTTGCTTTTGTGAGGCAGTCATACACCAAGATATTAAAAGCATATGATTCGGATGGGGTCGAAAAGCGTTACGCGTTTGAATATCAGCGTATGAGCTCAGTTACTTGACAGCGCTCCCCCCCCATCCCCCTCCAGCTTCCCCACTGCATCAGGGTGTGTCGCAGGAAGACTGCTCGCAAACTGCCTCCGCCACAAAGACCATACGAGTCACAAACTGCCCCAGTTACCATTTTTAACACAGCATCATCCGAGTGTGTGTCTGCTTGTATCGATGTCTGGTTAGGGTGCACAGCGTGAGCTGGAGAGGGGGTCATGCCATTTCATTTCACAAGCATTTGACAGAATATATAGTTGTTTGTTTTTTTTTTCTCCTTTTCTAAACAGCCACAAGTCGGTTGCCACATCCTGCTCACAGCTTTGGTGTGGCCACTCGGAAACAATCTGGATTGAGCAAAGGAAGGAAATCAATGAAAAAGGCACTTTCCATTGTGTTGTCTGCTTGGGAAAAAAAAAAAAAAAGTGTGCATGTGTCTGCGCATGCGTTTCGGGATTACTCATGTGCAGTTGTGTGCGAGCGCGTGCGCGTGTGGTTTGGCTCGTTTGAGTTCGTGGGAGAGACAGCGTTTGCCGGCTGCCAAAAAAAGCAGAGGTGAAGGTTAAGCCGCTTTTTAAATCTGCTTCCCGACACATCACGATTGTATGTAAACAAAAACACACCAAAACAAGTACACATGAATTAAAAGATGACAAATTTAATAACCTCACAGCTCCCTAAATCAGGACATATCTCTGCTATTCTTTTACGCAAAGACACCATTAATATTAGCAGACAGGAATGGACTTGTTTGCGTTTTTTGAAATCACATCAAAAACAAAAATTAAGCACCACATATCAAATGTCTCATCTTTCCACCTCCCTTGATCAGTGAAAATGGAAAAACAAAAAACAAAAACATAAGTCCACCAACTGCATCATGTGATGTCAAACCAAAAGCAGCGAGCTGGAAACAAGCTGAAATATGAACGTATGTCTGCGTAGATTCTCAGTCATCCAGGTTCTGCTTATCTGCAAAAGTCGAATGTCAGCAACAGGACTCTTGGTTGTTGAATAATTATCACCTTTAATCCAAAACACTTAAACCGGGATTTGGTCTCACATCCCTTTCAGACACAACACACTGCAGAGAGACTCCATGTCGACATGACTCGGCGCAATGAATAATTAGATGTCCGGTGTGACAGCTAGGGGAGAAACGAAGGGACCACTGCAATCTTCCTATGCACCTAGAATTTGTGGACACCCTGTATTCCATTCGAATGTCAAGACTTCAACTTCAGAAACGGTTTCTTTCAGGTCTGGAGCTCTTAACAGTGCAGAACTTATGTCTGCAAAATAAATACACAGCAAGCCCGTTTTTTAATATCCCGGCATTACTGCAGCGTGAACCTGTAATTATGAGAGCTAGCGTAGCCAGAGAACTGAGGTACAATATCGACGTCACTGGTACGTGGTTTCGGATGTCAGTGACGGTTGCACATTCAACTGGCTGAAGACTCTCATTTAAGGTCGGGAGGGTTCGACTAAATGGTCACACAAATCTTGATTATGAAATGTAAAGAAAGAAAGAACACATTTATCATCCAAGATTTTCCCCGCATAGGTCAGGGAAGTTGGAGGAGATGTAAAAGTTCGACGGCGACAGAGTAATCCTTCTCGCGAGGATCTCAACTGTCTTGAGGAGTGCGTCTTGAGGACTGACGTTGCAACCGCATTGGCCGAGTTGCATGAAAAGATCAGTCGTTTATTGCGGGCGGGCTCGGAAACATCCACGTCAAAAGCAATCGAAAAAATGTGTGATTTAATTTGCGTGGGCAATTTCCCCTTTTGCAGCTCGCTTCTGTTATTGTGTTCCGAAACAGCTGACGAAGGCTTTTCTTTTCGCTCTCTCTTAACTACCAACCCCCTCCCCCCACAACGCACACACATGTGCACTCACAGGCTGGGGGTGGAGTGGGGGCAAATGCAAACCCCACCTGTGCTGTTTTTGTTCTGCATTGTTACACGTTTATAACAAGCTGACCTCGGTCCTGAGTAGTTACAATGTAGTTACAATGGGTCTGTCAAATGCATCTTTTTTGAACTTGAGGGGGGTTAAGACTGCTGTTATTTATTTACTGGTGTTATGTTTATATGTCAGTATTTATTCATCATTAATTAATTAATCTTTGGCATTCTTCAGCAAAAATAAATAAATAAATAAATAAATTCTCACTGAAATAAGTTGCGCCAAACATGGGAATAGCTTTAGAATTGTTACCGAGTGCAGAAAAACTGTCAATAATGCCTGACAAACGTGGTCCCAGTTGCGCGTGCAGCCTGAACCTTGCTCACTCGGGTCACGAAAGCCGATGGGGGCAGGGAAGAAATAAGAGACATGTCATGTGATCGCTGCTCACGCCAGTGGAAATCACAACTGCGCGAAGGCCAATCGACGAACCTCCAACTGTCATCCCATTAAGGACTACTTAGTTACAAAAAAAAAACCCGCCGCCACCCCACCACCACTCCTAACTTTTAAAAAAGTAACAATGTGCAAAGCCAAGGTGAAATCAGGCGCATTTTGTTGACACATGAGATGATATCAAATGTCACACTAAGTCAATACGTAAACCCTTGATAACATTTTACCTGCTTTTGAGCGCGCACACGTTGACATTTAAAGTCCCCACGTGTCTCGCTGCCATCACACTAATCTGAGGAAGATGCTATCTCTTAACATTCCACGAAGGCCAGTCGCCGGGGGCTCACAATCACAGCTTTGTCAACACACGGCCGCCGTGCACGCGCGTGTGGGACGCATCAGGCAAATTGTATGTAAGGTAGGAATCCCAAAAGTGTTTGGAATGAATTGACGACAATTGTTGAATGGTTTGCATCTTTTAGCGCAGGGGTGTCCAAACTTCATTCAGAAAAATGGAAGGGTGAAATGGCCACGTTAAAAAGGTTTCAACTTTTTGGAAACCGCGAAGGTCGGCCGAGAATCGTAATCGTACGACATAACAGCTCTCCGAAATCTGACACACCGAAACACACACACACACACACACACACACACACACACACAAAATGTTCTCACTAACACACGCTTCTCTCATTTCACACGCACAACCAACCTGACAATCATGAATCTCAAAAACTACACTGGGAGCTACTCAAGCAACAGATGTCTCGGAAGAAAGGAGTTGGCATGCAGGGCGTCAGGCTCAGCAACTCCTCGGACTGCAACAAGTGATGAAACTTAGAGGAGTCACGCAGGGAAACGCTCCAAACCAAGGAGACAAAGAAAGATGGCGCCCAGAGGCCTCTGGCTTGTTATCCAATGCTGGGAGTGGCGCAGTGCCCCAAGGAGCAAAGACAGACTTGCGGCATAATGAGTCTCAAAAGACTGACGGGATGCAAGAAATGTTGGTCAGGCATCGCAACACTCGGTTCTTGCGCAACAATGTCATTTATATCAAAACGAAACGAAAAGAATCTATCCGTCCAGTCATCGCTCCAGCGACGGATATGATACATTGCGTCACCTAAATCAAAGCTGCATTGGGGA